CTCCAGAGGCAGTGGGACCTGGGAGAATGGAGCTGATAAATGAGGCCTTCAGGAGTAAGATTAGTACCCTTATACAAGAGGCTGCGGAGACCCCTTTTGTTCCATGAACTAACACAATGGAAAGGAGCCAGTTTTGATCTAGAAGGCAGGCCTTCTCTAGACACCTGTATCAGTTAGGGTCACTACTGCCGTGATGAAACACTATGACCACAGCAACTTAGGGAAGTTGGAGATGGTCACGCCAAGTGAACTGCCAGACTCAGAAGTCACATAAAATCGCATGCATGTGTGTGGTGCTTGTCTGTATCCACGCACTGACACCAGAGGAGGGTGTGAGGTCTCCTCCATCACTGTCCTCCTTTTTAAGCAGGGCCTCTCATTGAATTGGATCTTGTGTCTTTTGACAATGCTGGCAGATAAAGTCCCAATGTTCTTTTTGCCTCTGCCTCACTCAGCACTGGGGCCTACTGCCAATGGCCATCCCAGAGGAGCAGCTGGTGGCAACTGAAGTTCTCCTTCAGTGGGGTGTCAGCCCACTAGGAGAAACTGATTGACCAATCTCGCCCAGGCAAGGCCATGACACTGCAGACCCCAGAATGTCTTTTGTTTCTGCTGTGCCTTTATATGTTTGCTGCAGCTCTTTCTCTGGTATCCAGCATGGTGAGTGGATGTGGGGAGATCTCAGCTGTCTGTAATGTTTAGCTCTTAGAAACATCCCATTCTCCTGGGCATTTTTATCTGTGGATTGTCAAAAAGGACCCCTCCCTAAGCTGTACTGTCTAAATTGATAATAATAATGATGCCCTATACAGAGTTTTGATGAATAAAAATATAAAAGGATATGTTTCGCAGCCTGGGCCTAAGAATTTCACCTAAGGAAGAGCATAGATTATAGCCTAAGTTAATGATTAACAACTGAGTCCAGTTAGTTTAAACTCTTTTACCCTTAATGCTGGGAGATGTGCACACAGGTTTCAGAGGGCATCACAGCTGAAACAAAGCTTTGAAAATAACAAAGTTAGACGAAGATGTTCTTATTAAATAGCTTTGAGGTGAAAAAAAAAATCCCAAGAAGACAACGTAAAGTTTTAGAAAGGCACATAGTTGAATGCCGAACTTGCTAAGATCAGGGCACAAGAACAAAGCAGCCCAGTTATCCTTGGCTGGTGTACCTTTCTTGCTAGGATCGGTTGGTGACAAAAGGTGATAATTAATTCATTATATTAGATTTCTGCCCTCAATCTCCTGATATAAAAAACTATTGGTGAGTGGGTATGTACCCTAAAGATTTAAAGTAGAGCTGACTGATTGTTTTTCATATTGAAAAGTTTAGGTTTGTGATTCCTTTAAGATTCCTGGTAAGATTCCCTTTCAAGATAGGTAATAAAGTGATCGGTCCTTTCCTTGAAACTGCAAAATGCAGCCTGTCAGTAAGAGACCTGACAAGAACACCTTGCTTACCCACACAATGAGTCTACAACAAGTTGGTTGGGTATGAATGCATGCAAGTCTTTGGGATAATTTGTTTTTCACCTGTAATATATAAAATGTTTAATCATGTAAGAGATATGGAAAACATGCTGGTTTTACTGTTTGTTTTATATTCATTGAAATCATTCACTTGAGAAACAGAATGTAACCACACTGTAATTCCTATATTGTCTGAAAAACTTAGTTGCAACAGAGCATATAAGCTGTAGAAAGAAAGTATACAGTAGAGAAAGAACATAGAAAAAATGAGAGAACAGAGAATAAAGGAAGCCATCAAGAGAGTGTTTCTTTCCCTAAACCCTCTCAGACAGAAAAGTCTAGCTTAGGCCAACTCCGTGGATTCCTCTCAAAGCCTCGTACTGCTTGAGATTTGCCCCCCAGACAGAAGTAGACTAAAGGCATGCATGGGGGCACGACCAGCTTGTTATGTGGATGCTGGGATCCAAATCTGGTCCTCAAGTTTCAGCAACAAGTGCACTCGATGTTTGAGTGGTCACTCTAGCCTCAGAAAAGATGATTTGAAGTAGATAAGGTACAGTGACTCAGCTTTCAAAATACAGGGGAACTGAAGAAAGGTCAACCCTGCTGTATTTCCAAGGTTACCAGTTTCTAATATAATCATAACAAGCATGAACTATGGGATTTTATTCCATACTTTGTCAGTGTTCATTCACAACTGAAAGACTCAGCAGATTCCAAAAGAGAAGGTGCTGTAAATTCTTCAGATTCCGTCCGTCCTTAGGACAGTGACTGAATAGCTACACTTCTGGTTTCTCATATATGACATGCAGTTATGTGGTGAGTATTTCAATTGTAAGTGAAGGTAATTCGTAAATAAGAGTGCTTAGCATACTGATTCAGGGTAGAGAGCAGAGGGATGCTTTTCTGAAGGAGGCATGGTGTCCTTATGTTCACAGATAACTGTAGATGAACTTTCAGTTCCAATGAAAAACACAGAGGCTTATATTACTTATAAACTGTTTGACCTACTAGCTCAGGCTTATTACCTAGCTTTTACAACTTAAATTAAGCCACAATTTTTATCTATACTTAGCTACATGGCTTGTTACCTTTTCTCAGTAAGGCATTCCCATTTTGTTTCCTCTGTGTCTGGCTGGTGACTGCTTTCTCTGCCTTTCCTCTTCCCCAAATTCTCCTAGTCTGGTCACCCCTCCTAGTCTTCCTGCCTGGCTACTGGCCAATCAGTGTTTTATTAAACCAATACAAGTGATGGCAAATCTTTACAGTGCAAGAGCATTATCCACAGCAGATAATGTAGGGGAAACAGGAGTGTTAAACACAAAGGGAGAGATGTATAATCTGTTTCCACCCAGAAAACTGGGAGTGGACATGGTTAACCTTTGTATTATCTGTGTGGCCGAGACCACATTGGATCTTCCCCAAGACCCTTATTTTGAGCTTGTTTTTCTCAGTCAACCTATTAAAACCTATCTTTATGGAAGATGTTACTTTCAGAGTTTCATTGTAGTCTTAAACTTTATTACGCACATGAGATTGAGTTAATTATCACTAGGAAACTTTTTACTAATTTGTGCTGTCCTTAAATATGCCTAAACTACACAAGGTCAGACCCTTGAAGTTTGAGCCAACACCTGCTACTGAGTCTTGTTGAACTGAACTGCCTTCTGTCCTGTCTTGGATCCTCTGCTGGCCCTGGTGGTTGCAGACATCCCTGACTGCTGCCCCATGTATGGAGTCTGACCCTTGGAGAAGGTAAGAAAATCTTTCGGTAAACAGAAGCGGAGAGTGGGAGTTACAAGTAGGAAGTAGGAGAGTAGGGGTTACAAGTAGGAAGTGGGAGAGTAGGAGTTACAAGTAGGAAGTAGGAGAGTGGGAGTTACAAGTAGGAAGTGGGAGAGTAGGAGTTACAAGTAGGAAGTGGGAGAGTAGGAGTTACAAGTAGGAAGTAGGGGTTACAAGTAGGAAGTAGGAGAGTAGGGGTTACTCTCACTCATGGGGTCCCAGCCGTGAGAGTGAGATAAGCATGGTTCTTCTCGGTCCTCTGATGGAAAACATTTGATGTGATTGAGATACCTGTGACGATCCAAGGGGCAAACTATTCAGAGCAACAGCTCTGCAACTTCGTACCGATGACCATAACATTCAATCCTTGGTTTCCTAAACAAGGAACCATTGATGTTGATTTAATTGGAAGAGCAGAGGAGCAAATGCAAAAGGAGCCAGAAAGGGGGGATAAAAATTCCTGTTAATTATTTTGCAGTCTGGACTGCAGTAATGTATTGCTTGGACCCTCTCATGAAGACCATTAAAAAATGCCAGCTGTAATCTGACTTTTTTGGGGCTGTGAGCTCACACAGGCTTATTAATTCTAAGATTGGCATTAGCTTAGGCTTGTTCCTAACTAGTTCTTATAACTTAACCCGTATTTTTTAATCTGTGTTCTTCCACAGTTTTGTTACCTCACTCATTACTGCCCAACCTGCTTCCTCCGCATATGGCTGGTGACTCTCTCTTGCTTAGGTTCCTTTTTTTCTTCCTCTCTCTCCCCAGAAATCCCACCTATCCTCTCCTGCCTAGCTATTGGTCATTCAGCTTCTTATTACACCAATCACTGCTACGCATGTACGACATAGTGTACAAATATTCCACACCAGGACAGATCTTTTGGACCAGTTTCTGTTGGTACTGAGTCAGGTGAGTTCAGGGCTAGCCCTCCTATGCAATCTGACCAGAACTCAGAGCCCTCCAGCTCTGTGGCCCTTTCTGCTGTCCAGTTCTGGCCCAGTGGGGAGGGGAGTCTGCCGGCATCGCCTGAGTTAGGTAGCTCCACTGCTGCATGGCCCACTGCAGCTTGGCTGCCCCTAGGCTTTGGTTTTGTTCTCTTACAATAGGAAAGACCTAGTATGGATTGATCAATGGTCCCTTCATAGAGAAAAATTAAACCAGGTTATACATTACTCCCTTTGAAGAGACAATCCTGTGTGTTTAACACTCCTGGCTTCCCTAATGCTTATCTGTGAGCACAAGGACCTCCTATTTTCCCCTTATGAACTTCCAATTCCTCCTTCAACATTTAGCTCATGTTACTTCCCCATTACATCATCTGCCTAAACAGTTAACAGTTACAACCTCAGGTCCCTCACATATGTGTATCTCTCAAACCATCTTATACTATCTGCTCAGATTTCATATTCCTCTTCTGAGAGGTCTTTAGGGCTCATTCTGTACAACATGCACAGTCCCAGATACATACTAATTGGCATAGGTAAGACCCAAGGTGCCAAATCCATTTTTTTCTTTTTTTTAAAAAATTTATTTATCTATCTATCATGTATACAGATTCTGCCTGCATACCAGAAGAGGGTACCAGACCTCATTACAGATGGTTGTGAGCCACCATGTGGGTGCTGGGAATTGAACTCAGGACCTCTGGAAGAGCAGTCAATGCTCTTAACCTCTGAGCCATCTGTCCAGCCCCACCAAACCCATTTGTATACATAACAAAGAAAGAAGGATGAAACTTGCACTTGTTTTCCATTTGTATTTACCGAGAGTCTGATACACAGTAGTCAAAAGGAGCAGCGCTCCTTCCCATTCTTTAACCAGCACCAGAGTCCCTTACAAAAGAGTCCATTCTGCCAGCCTGGCCTTCTCTGATTCTTTGGTTAGTCTCCAGGCACAGATTTTGCACGTAGTTTTTCACTTAAAGCATAGTGGAATAAGCCATGAAGCATTCCAAAAATTGTCTGAAATACTAGAGGAACGCACATTAGTTTGACCCTGTTGTGACACAGGAGTATCCAGTGGAGTATGACTCTTCCTTTTGGAGGGAGTGGAACGGTATGATACCTGAAAATGAAAAAGAGTTGACCATGTCTCCTGGACTGATAACTAGTCCTTCCAGTACTAGTATATTATACCAAGTATATGTTAGCAGGCTATTCTGTTTGGATTAGCCTGTACCTAAAGAAAAGGGAGAGTTTATCGGCACCCCCCTCCCCCCAAAGGAAGGAAGGAAGGAATAGAAGAAAAAGGGCTGGATAGCTGGATCAATAAAATGCTTGCCATGCAACCATGAGGACCAAAGTTTGCTCCCTCCCCAGAATCATCCAGGTTACAGAAAAACAGAAAGCCAGATGTTTTGACCATGTGCTTCTACCCCAGTGCTGGGGAGGCAGAGGCAGAAGGTCCCTGGGCTCACTGTCCAGTCAGCCCAACAGCAAGCTCTAGTTCAGCGGATCTCAACCCTCCGAGTGCTACAATCCCTTAATACAGTTCCTCATGTTCTGGTGACACCCCCCACCGTAAGATTATTTTTGTTGCTAATTTGTAAGTATAATTTTGTTGCTGTTATGACTAGTACTATAAATATCTGTGTTTTCTGATGAGCTTAGGCAATAACTGTGAAAGGGTTGTTTGACCAAAAGGGTTGGGATCCACTGCTCTAGACCAATGACAGTCCCTATTTCAAAAATATAAGGTGAACAGGCATTGAACAGGCATGTGTTCAATCCCAGCACCTGCAAAGGCAGGCAGCTTTCTGAGTTCAAGGCCGGCCTGGTATACATAGAGCGCTCCAGGCTATTCATGGCTGCACAGTGAGATCCTGTCTCAAAAACATAAAATCAGGTGGACAGCTTTTGAGAAATAACACCCAGGGTTGTCCTCTGCGTGCACACATACGTGCTCGTGTGCGTGTGCGTGCGCGCACACACACACCACATGGCGGGGGGAAGAATAAAGTAAAAAGAGAAGCAATGGACAGACTTACTTAACTGCCAAACGTCCATTTGTACGGAAAGCCAGCACCGTGGGGTATGTGACACCACATATTACGCCAATCAGTACACTTCTCCAAACACAGTTCTCCCTGCTTATGCTACCTGGAGAGTGAAAGCACAGTTGGTTTCCTTTTAAGATTTAAGATAACTGCAAAATGAAGCTGTCTCTCAAAGCGTAGTTTGCTGTCTGCAACCACAGTTCAACAGTGGGAAGAACGTTAGGAATCCAGTCTGTCACTTCACAGGCTGAAGTGGATCTTGGCTGTGGGACAACCCTTTTGTATGCTGTGAATATGTTTTATTCCCTTTGGTTAATAATATAGCTGATTTGGCCTACAGCAAGGCAAGATAGAGCCAGGTGGAAATCCAAGCAGAGATTCAGGGAGAATGGCGGAGTCAGATGCCAACCAGCCGGAGGAGGAGCATGAAGTGTTACAGCACAGGTCAAGCCACAAGACATGTGGCAAAACATTGATTACTAGAAATGGGTTAATTTAAGTTGTAAGAGCTAATTAGTAATAAGTCTGAGTATAGGGCAAACAGTTTATAATTAATATTAAGCCTCTGAGTGATTATTTTAAAAGCGGCTGTGGGACCGGGTGGAACAAAAAGCCTCTGTTTACACATTTTGCTTTAAAACTGTACTTATTATACTTTAAAATATGGAGAAATATCATTTATGTGTGCTTTTTAAGAAGCAATGTTCCATAAGAATACTAACCTATCACATCTGATACCTGAATTATAGGTGGATACACATACGTATTGTTTACGATGTGTTAGGTATACGCTAGGTACCAGGAATATAAGTGTCCTTAAGCTAGACCTTTTGGTGAAGCATGGTGTTACTTTAATCCTAGTACTTGGGAGGCAGAGGCAGGCAGACAGAGTTTGAGGCCAGTCTGGTCTCAGCCTGGTCTACAGAGTGAGTTCCAAGACAGTCAGGGCTACGGAGAAAAACCCTATCCTAAAAAACAGAAAGAGAGAGAGAAGAGACAGAGACATGGCTTCTAGTCAGCATATTAGGGAAGAAAGTCATTAGACGAACATTAAAGAAAAATGCTAAGAGGGGCTGGACTGGAGAGAGACCAGTATTTGAGTGCGTCTGCTATTCTCACAGAGGACCCAGGCTCAGCTCCCAGGACCCACATGGTGGTTCACAACCACTCCATTATGTACTGAAGAATTTACATTCACCTGACTGCAAAGCATCAGTTACAAAGAGCTTGAAGGTCACGATGGTAGACAAAAACGGAAGGGTAGTCAAGGATACACAGGTCTTCAGGGCTTCATGCTGAACCTTGAAACTGTTTCTGAAAATGATGTTTGCCAGTAGTCCAGATGTTGCACTAGTAGTCCCAAAGAATAAAGTTCCAAAAATATAAGGGCTGGTAGGACGAAAGAAAAATACTAGGATTAACACAACATTCTTGAAATGGATCTATTCTGTCTTCAGTAGTTAAAAACTATAACATATTTACCCAGCATCAAATATTTCTTGTTATTTGTAGGCACATATTTCTATATAGTATGGCAACCAGATTCAAAAGCCAAAAGGCCACACCTGAGATGGTCAGGTACCCGTCCAGACAGGCTGTCGCTACCCTAACAGAAGGTCGGGATGTTGCCTGAAAAGAGGTGCTGACTGAGCTAGCATACTGAGCACGAATGTGACAGCAAGTACAGGTAGGTGTGGGCGTGACTAAAAGCCACTCACCTGATTACCTAGGAAACAAAATGCTAATGATTTTACCCCTCAGTTTATGTTTTGATATATAAGGCTATTTGGAGAACAAAGCGAGAGGAAAATTCTTCAGCATGTGAACTCAGGACTTCATGAGGGATCAAGGAGAGTCCCTCCCGATAAAGCCATGTGAGTTGTGTCTTTATTCCCACGCCAGTCTAGAGAGATAGTTTATGTTGGGGTCTGGTCAACAGAAATAATTTAGGGTCTGGGCTAGCACAGGACCCTGACAGTTATTAAAATAATTGCCTCAAAGGAAAAAAAAATGTTTGTTTAAGATCATCTAGAAAAGAAAGCTATTTTCACTTGGCTAGCCTGTCTAGAAAAGAATGAGTTGTGAATTGGGCCAGATACATTTGAAATAATTTGTCTATGGTTTATGAAACTTCACTGAACAAAATCTGACAGATTTGGTTTAGCTTAGTTCTGGCTCATACCCAAATCAATAAAGCTCTAAAATTTACCATTGTTTACATTATTCTTGAGTTACATGAATGTGCATCAGGGAGGGGGTACATGTGTGCAAGCATGAATGTGTCAGGGAGGGGCACACATGTGCAAACACGAATGTGTGTCAGGA